CCACCAATCTGTCAGAGACCGGTGCTTCCTTATTCCAGTATGATAATTAACAATACACACCTCACGTCCCAGGGGAATCTCTTTAGACAGCATACTACAATTTAATTAGCAATTCAAACTGTTCTACGTCTTTGAGAAGATATTATAGAGCAGAAAAGAGACAATTTAATAACTAAATGTCAATGTGAATAAACGAATTAACAATATGCTAATTAACATAATTACTGTAAATATAAAAATGCAATGTGCTGACCAGTGCATCATAGCCAATGAATATCTATATAAGTATAAAGACCAATCTGAAACAACTATATATATATATATATATATATATATATATATATCTCACCGGATTCCCAAAGGTGATCAGTTGGATTTGGATCTGGTGACTGTACAGGCAATTTGAGTCATTTTCATATTCAAGAAACCAATTATGATTTGAGCTTTGTGACATGGCGCAATATCCTGCTGGAATTAGCCATCAGAAGATGGGTACACTGTGGTCATCATACAGGGAAGAGTGGTCCGCTCAGGTAGGCTATGCATTCCGTACTAAGATGTGGTACTAAAGGGCTAAAGGTGTGCCAAGAAAATATCCTCCATACCATTACAACACAAGCAGCCTGAACCGTTTATACAAGGCAGGATGGATCCATGCTTTCATGTTGTTTACGACAAAATCTAATATTGTTGCAGCACAAATCGAGACTCAACACTCAATAATGAAGAAAATGTAACTTATCCATGTAAGTTAGGAAAAAATACTCCATTGATTATGTTATTAACTAGATAAACCTTGATAAGGGAACCGTGAGGTAAAGGAGGTCTGCTAAAATGAAAGGTCAATCAATCTGCAAGTGGACTCAACACAAACCTCATAGCACTGTGGATCCATCAACAGGTTATTTTACGTCTTCATTTTCATTTTATCGTTCAGCACATTAATTCCGCACAATCAGACAATATATTTATTTAAATACTCACATCCAAAAATATTGACATTCCTTTCTTTAACTCGATGGGAGTGCTGGCTTCATCTGACAGTGACTGCACCTCTTCAGAGCAATCCATAATGACTCCTCGTGATAAACAATTGTCTAACTTTCAGCTACAATAAAGCTTAATTAATCCAAACAAGTGCGCGTGCAGGGTGAAGAAGCGCGCGTTCCGCAGTGTGTAGCTCTAATGCGCGTGAAAGCAAGGAGCGAATCTCCCGCTGTACTCCAGTGATGAGCCACAGGTCTCCTGATGCTGTGACACACGCACCAATGACATTCGCTTTGGTGTGTGTTATCATGCTAGTCATTTCTCTCTACCTGTCTCAGCGGGGATAAATTATTTTGTTACTCTCTCACCGTGCAAAATTACGATGCATTGTCATGTTTGTAATGATGCGAATATATGTAATAATGGAAAACTCAAAACTACGAGATGAAGTTCATATTTGTGTTATTAGTGTTATAGGAGAATTTGCTTACTTAGGAATGCAAGTAGAGAAAAATGAAGATTTTTTTTTTGTGTGGATATACAGCTAACGCCGTAGGATCGCGTCATGTAACTGACGCTAAAGGGCGCCTAAAACGTCAAATATTGAAGCATGGTCAAAGGTGACGCCTTAGGGTGAGAATGTGTTGGGATAGAGGCTAATGTTGGAAGATTATAGCACAACAAAATGTAATAAAAATATGAAAAACCTTATTACTCAAAAGGCCTAACTGTTTGGAACAACGAGGATGAGTTGCTAGCCTACATACAAAATGTTATAATTTTATACATGTTAACTATTCCTTGAAGTGATCGTAGCACTGTAATTTCATACATTTTAGCGTTAAAGGGTAGGTCATTAGCTAATTACTCGCCCTCAAGTCGTTCCAAACCCACAAATCTTTCGTTCATCTTCGGAACACAAATTAAGATATTTTTGATGAAATCTGAGAGCTTTCTGTCCCTCAGTTGACAGCTGTGCAAATTTGATGCTTCAAAAAATTCATAAAGAGAGGGTCCAAAATTGTCTTGAAGAGACATATTGCTGATGAACAGATGTATTCACATAAACATTCATCAACTCACACATCAGTTATGATAAATGTAAACTCAAGCATGCTCGCTTGACGTGTGAGAACCAATGAGGTTCATTCTCGTGTTACATTTAAGCAGCAGGTTTGAGCTTCTGCAAGGACCAATGAGGTTTGTTCTCATGTCTCAAGCAGGTTCTATTGAGATTCTGTTTGTGTTTGCTGATCAAAATTTATATGTGAATAAAAGCCTAAATTCAATCCGTTGATCATTGAGTCTCTTCATAAAATTTGGACTAAACCGCTCAATTTTGGTTTATTTTTTTACATTCTCTTTATGAGCTTGAATCATCAAAGTGTTGTGAATTATAAAAAGCTCTCAGATTTGATCAATAATATTTTAATTTGTATTCCAAAGATGAACGAAAGTCTTAAGTGTCTGGAACAAGTAGGTCCTACTTGAAGACAGAATTTTAAGTTCTGGGTGAACTATAAGAATAATGTTCACACAGTGCACACTATTCATGTTTAATCATTTAAGAAGTTCTCCATACCTTCCCATCTAAAAATCGAGTAAAACGATTTCTGTGAGAATATAACAGTTAAAACTTTGTAAAATTTACTTTTACCCAAGATCACAGAACTCCTTGTCATGAGACAAACATCTTTTAGTGAATTGAAGGTGAAACACCAGCGACATCTTGTGGTAAAACATATAAAAATCAGAAACATCATGTTTAAAAAAGTGTAACCTATTTAGATAATTATAAATCGATTCTTGAGACACTGGACAAAACATGTTGCAAGCTTTTAGCTGCATTAGAGATGATCACTGATAGCCTGACTTCGTCATAGATCACTGATAATACTCAGAAAAAGTGATTCTTAGTGATGCTATTTATATATAAGAAACATTTTTGGGTAAACCATTTTTTCAAAGTGTGAAATTTTTTTTTTAAATCCAAAGAACATTTTTCCTCTATAAGGAACCTTATTCAGTGGAAAGGATCCATGGATGTTAGAAGTTCTTCAGGGAAAATGCCAATAACCTTTATATTAAGTGCATAAAAAAATCAGTAAGCCTAAATGCCAAATTACATTAGTATGGTAGCAATTACTAGTGGAAGCTCACTAATAAATCACACAAAAACACACCCATAAAAAAAACTATACGGAAGTAAATAAACTCAGTGACCCAGCCACATTAAAATACAATGTGGTTAATAACTAAGCTGCCATTTAAACTTGACATTGCATCAATGATCTTTTGTAAAGAGAACAACCCATTACCCTTGAGCAGAGTGTACGAATGCAGTGTGGTCGGATGAGTCAGTTTACAACATTTATCCGTTTACTTAGGGACAAAGCCAATGTTGCCTTCCCTTCAATGTCTAAAATCAAAGGATTCATAATGACATAAAATACAGCTCTCGAGGTTCCTAATGGCTTTGCAAACCCTATACTCTGATAGTCATTCTCATATTCCATACCAGTCTGATATTCCCATAAATACTGGTAAATAAATTTAAAGTTGATTTCCTGAAAATAAAGACCAATGCCTTTACAACTTCGTTTGGAATAGATCCAGACTTATCGTCATCTGTAATTGTGAAATATAGCTAAGGGCTTGTGTGACAGAATTCCAAGAAAGGCAGGATCTGTTCTAAAGGTGAAGTGTGTCATATATCACTGATCAGCAATGATTAGACTGGAGGCCTTTATTTAGGGGCAATTGTTACATTTTACTATCGTAACAAAGTCAGATTTGTCCACCTATTATTATATTTTACTTCAGTGGATTTAAGCAAACTTTATTTGCTGAAGGAAAAGTAATGGTAGGCAGCATTGAAATTTAAAAAGCTTTGACTTTGGTTATGCAAATAAAATGCTGCCAGAGCAGATTTGCTGTTGTCATGAGAATCGGTTGTGTACTGTGGCTTCGTAAAGGCTGAATATTCTATCAATTAGAAAAGATTTCTTAAAAAGTATAACATTTATAAAAGCTAGAAACTAATTATGTCAACATACCAAAACAAATGCTGTAATTATCTGCAATATAATGATTGGGTCTTTCAGCCAGTTTGGACTAAATTAATTGAACTGAACCTGCAGTTTGAACTAAATTTATGATATGATCTAATTTAATAATAAATATCTCAATATATATATATATATATATAGCGAGAGAGAGAGAGAGAGAGAGAGAGAGAGAGAGAGAGAGAGAGAGAGAGAGAGAGAGAGAGAGAGAGAGAGAGAGAGAGAGAGAGAGAGAGAGAGAGAGAGAGAGAGAGAGAGAGAGAGAGACTTAATAATTAAATTATCCAAAAATTAAAGGTTGAGTGAAATTTGTGTTTCGTCAGTTGGGACCGAACTTACTCCACCACATAGCCTAATAATAGATATGACATAAAAAGTAAAATTATGACATTAATCAAAATTAGATATGTCGAAATTATATTTCATCAAATTAGTTGAGATTATTTCATTTTTTTATTTTCATTATGAAAAGTCGAATTTTATAGAAAAAAATATAAATAAAAGACTTTTATCTCATAATTATAACTTTGGTATGTCATCATTTCGATTTTTATATCTTATGACTTAGCATGTAAAATCATGATTTTTTTATTATTTTTTTATGAGGCAGAAATTAGCTTCCACGCAGGTGGGAAGGGAAATGGGAGGGGACAAACATTTGGCTCGGGCTCTAAGAAAAATAGGCTAATATTATACAACAGAATAGTTATGAAACCAGAACAAAAACAGAGACATAACATACTTGAAACTGTCCAATGTGTGTTTTTACTCTTCGACACCCAAACCGGTGCTTTTACTAGACTAGTACATTTATGTATATTGGATTTAACGATAATGTCATATTTATATTTCCAATAGTTATTGTACACCACAGATTAGAGCGTAGAGCTGTTTGTTATCGCGATACTTCCAGTGACTGGCCGATGGTATCACGTGACGACCTCGCACAGAATACTGGGAAACAAACAGTGGTATGAATAAACGCTCCGCGTAAACATCCGTTGCTGAGGTGGGCAAGCGCTCGCAGAACACAAGTAAAACAACTCATCCAGGGAACGCAACGACCGTCTATCCGCGACTTTTATAATCGGTGTTATTCTGGCCAAGGGATGTGACATGTTGAGCAGGGTGAGCGGCGGGACTTTGGACCGGAGCCTGGTTGGGAGTAGCGTTACTGCAGTGAGCTGTGCCTGGAGTCAGGAAAGTTGAGCGACGCGTGTGTGTGATTTATCCGTCAGACGCGATGACAGCAGCGCCTGGAGGGATTTCTTTCCTCTGATGTTGGGAAGGGGAGTATGGCGTTCATAAGTGAACAGACACATTCGCATCTTGAGTGCTTGAAGTGGTACAACTCCACATCAGTTTTCCCCAGATAAATTATTATACGTAACTGGACTTTTCGGGACAATTCCTCACTATCCAGGGAATTGATTGCCTTTGTCAGAGGATCCTCAGGATTTGCCAACGTGTAAATCCAAGGGTCAACATTTTGGACTGGACGTCCAAACAATCAATCGAGTGAAGTCATATGAAGAAGGGATGAATATGTGGAGCTCAGGGTCAGTGCAGGGTGTGCTGAAAGCCCTGAAGCACGCCGCGGGGAAAGGACACATCCAGCTCAGCCGCTGGCTGCAAAAGACCCCTGACTCACTGGACTGCGACAAGATCGACATCTTGATCTGTAACGTCTTTGACGAGAGAGCCAACGGCGGGAAATCGGAGGCAGAGCCGGCGGGACTGACCGAGACCGGTGCGCCCTTCACCTCCGAGTTCAGGCATCCGTGTTGCATTACCACCTGTTGCTTTAAAAGTGCCCTGTTGGCGTGCATCCTGACAGCCGTGTGCTTTTCATCGGTCGCTCTCGTGCGCCAGTACCTGAAGGATGTCTTGTTGTGGGTGGAGAGTTTGGACAGTTTCGTGGGCGCCTTGCTGTTCATTGTCGGCTTGATCACGGTGTCTTTCCCCTGCGGCTGGGGTTATATCGTGCTCAACGTGGCCGCGGGGTATTTATATGGGTTTGTGTTGGGGATGGGACTGGTGATGGTTGGGGTTTTGATCGGGACTTTCATAGCTCATGTGGTCTGTAAGCGATTGCTGACGAACTGGGTTCTGAGTAAGATCGGCAGCAGTGAACAGCTGAGTGCTGTTATTCGGGTGGTGGAGGGGGGAAGTGGACTCAAAGTTGTGGCCTTAGCGAGACTCACTCCGATTCCTTTCGGTCTCCAGAACGCGGTCTTCTCGGTAAGTCTGTTTTTGACATTCTTGCTAATAATGTTATTATTCTCATTTTTAACAAGCCTTTTGAGTGATATCTCACTAGTGTTATTTATTGTATTATCATTGATATTCAGTTGTACTAGTAGCCTATTTATTCATATTTTAATTCGATTTTGTTCACTTCAATTTGAAAGTCATTTTTAAAATATGTCGTTATAGGTTTTTTTTGTTGTTGTTATTATTCTTATTAAACTTGTTTTAATTTATTTTGTTCCAAGTAACACGTTTGTTTGTGGGTTTTAAATGGTTAGTTCACCCATAAACAAAAATTCTGTCAGTATTTACTCACCGTCATGTTGTTCCCAAACCTCTGTGTTTATTTGTTCTGCTGAACACAAAGGAAGATGTTTTAATCAAACAGAGAACATTCTTCCAAATATCTTTCTTTGTGTTCAGCAGAACAAATAAACACCGAGGTTTGGAACAACATGAGCATGAGTAATAAATACTGACAGAATTTTCATTTTTGGGTGAACTAACCCTTTAAGTTTTAGTCCACGATATAATAACCCTGTATTGCATGACTGGATTACAGTCTTGCTAAATTGCAAGAGATGGTAAATCTATAATTATGAAACGTATGTCTAGAATTTTCTAAAGATACTAGGTCGCTTTATATGATGAACCGATTAAATTTAGACTTTTATTGACATATAAACATTGATCAGCGAACATAAACAGAAGCTGATGTGCGAGAACAAACCTCATTGGTTCTTGCAGAAGCTCAAACATGCTGCGTAACATGAGAATGAACCTCATGTGAGTTCAATCTGTTCATCATATAAAGTGATTGTTTCTCTTCAGACAATTTGGACTAAACCACTCAACACTAACGGATTATTTTAACAATCTCCTCCTTATGAACTTTTTGAAGCGTCAAAATGTCAGTTGCATAGCTGTCCATAAAGGGACAGAAAGCTCTCAGATTTCTTCAAAAATGCCTTTATTTGTGTTCCGAAGATGAAAGTCTTATGGGTTTGAACGACATGACTGAATTTTCATTTTTGGGTGAACTATCCCTTTAAAAAACTTGTCTGTTCAAGTAGTGTGATACATTTCCCCTTTTCTCTCAAATAATTCTGTAGTCATTCCGCTTGAAATCCATTCTGTGTTTTACATTTTTTCATTGATGAGAAAACCATGCATTGAGCGACCATGGAGCAAAAAAGCGCAAAACACAGACTTTTAGGCCAGAGCAAAACATACAGTTTTCTTTACATCAATGCTCACAAAGTCTGTTTGCCAATAAAGTCAGATAAGCCAAAAGAAAAAGAGTGAAATAATCTGTCTCAGAACAGTCACTGAATATTGGGGAGAGGACAGAACTGTTGTATTTACTTTACATTTGTACTTGTCACTTGTATTGTTATGAGGGTCTTTAGTATTAGTAAAAATGTTTACAACATAGGTCTCTGAATAATTGCATTGAGATGGTTGTGTTAATCTTTAAGGGGCATCCAGGTGCCTTTATCTTGCTTTGCAGGAATTAAACAATTAAGACCTCCTGAGCCGGATTTAAATCAAACATATCTGTTCTTCACGCAGGATCAAGGGTAAAAACAGCTCTCTGTTGTTTACATTGAAATATGTTACCTTTAGATGCTCTGCTCTACCACTACCAATATAGTACACTTTTAATTAGATGACATATAGAGAATCTGCAACCTTTAACATTGACAGAGGACCGTAAAGAACAGTGATGCACAACCACAGTGTGTAGCATCTTTTTTGCCTTACAAGAATTGAATTATTACTGACCCAGTTTCTTTAACCCTTTTGTTAAATGCATAATGAATCAAAAATATACAGTCAGCAACATTCAAATAAATAATTTACAAATAATTGGCTCTTAAATGGGGTGACAGTTGTGTTTTATGCAAAGTTTTTAAATTTTAAATCATTTTAAATCAAATTAGTGTAGTCCCATAAAATATGCTCATGCTTGGACTTTTCAAAGAGCTTATTCTGTTTAACCAAGTTTCATTTTAAAACAAGCAAAAGATTACAGTTGCTGCTGATATTAAATTAGATTTGAGATGTACTTCGACTTTCTCGGCCGTTTGATTTCTAATATGAATGTGGACCAGCAGCCTGCCATTGTGTAACATATTTGACTATTATTTGTGCTGTTTGCATAATTTATTCACTGGATGATTCATAGGTCAATCAATGTATTGCTCATTTGAAGTTTTTTCTTATGATAATGAGCAATCTTTGCAAGATTGATGATTTACACCACTTGAAAGTCTGACAGCGATTATAATCTTGGTTTCTTGAATGCTGGAAATGGACATTGAACACCTGCTTACAGTTGGAGTTTCCATCATTTTAGCAAGCAGCTACAATGTTAAACAGAGCTGTCTTTTCCGTTTACAAGTATATGGCTGCACTATTAATTGAAAATATTCTAAATTAGTTACAGCTGCTGTGATTTAAAGACTTGTTCATTTTGTCAGTTACAATATCTGATCTTATGTTGCTGTTTTCTTACAGTTTGAATAACAGTTTTGTTTTCATGCAGCTCCACTTTTAAGGCCAATTCACACCGCACCGACAGTCACCAGATTACAGCACGTCACTTCTCAGACATTCTAACGCCTATTCAGCATGTTCAATCGGCGAAAAACTATTGGCCTATAAAAATAATGGTTCAGAGGGAGGGGGAGGGGGTCGTCATAGAAGAACCGTTATTGGTTCCCCAAAAACCTGTCAGTGATCAGTTCTTTATAACAATTTTTTCTTATCTAATTCTGAATAGCTGTTTTCCATTATAAGGAACCTATTATGCAATCAAACGGTTCAATGTTTAAGTTTCTTCATAGAACCATCCATGCCATTTAAGAACTGTTATTTTATAGTGTATGACTAAAAGTAAAAAGTTGACCATTTAGGACTGTTCAAACTTGAATTACAGATGTATAAACCCCCAATAAATTCATAAACACACTTCTCAGCTTGTTTTAGATAAGGGCAGGTTTATTATTGTTAACTAAAACCATAAAATGTTTTCACCATAAACCCATAAATGTTAACTATATAATTATTGTTTATATAACATCGTTTTACACACCTTCATAACCATGACATGACGCATGTCTTGAATATGAAGTAGGGTTTATGTTTGTTTAAGAGTCTTTCGCTCATGACATTTTGAATGCAAATATGACCTTGTTTAACCATAAACCATAACATCACAACCTGTCCGTGTCTTTGTCATGACAACTTGACATAAAATTAAGTTAAACTGGCTTTGACTTTGGCTGTCATGAGGCCATATAACTGTGTCATGAATATTTTTCTATATACAGTGGAACTATTGAATTTGACATTAAAAAGTTATTCATGACAGCTAATGTCAAAACCAACCACCTGATAGTTTATTGTAATGTTAACCAATAAAGCTAAGTGGTTTCTTAAGTTTGATAATTAATCTGCTATGTAATGTTTATGAAAGGTTGTGTTGTCCTAGTAATGTCAAGTTGCCATGACAAAGACACTGACAGGTTATGATGTATTATTGGTTTATGTCAAGTTGTTATAAACAAGACAAACAATGTCATACTTGTATTAAAAATGTCATAACTGAGCAAATGACAACTTCCTTCATATTCATGTCATGACTATGAAGGTGTCATGTTAGTCTTATGCACTCTCCTTCAAGTAAAGTGTTACCGATGCATTCATAAAGATTAGAAACATGCAATTGCCCTGCACAAAAAAGAAAAATATTTGTCATAATCGTGCAGCCCAATTAGACATTACATTTTAGTCAGAAGCAACCTACATTACACTAGTAGAGTGTCGTTGCTCTTAGCAAGCATACAGTAAGTCTCTGTTCTTTTTAAAGGACACTAATGATCAAGCACTCATCTCAATGGCTGTTCGGTTCTGGGTTTGCTTTTACTTGGAATTGAACGCGACACCATGAGTCAGTACTCTTCCTTCTTTGTAATATCAGTGAGGATGATTGACCCTCAGTAAGCACGTCCTATAGACGGGGCTATATTTCAATGTGCGCTGCATTTCCTGCTGAAGCAGAATGTGATGCGTTATGTAGGTAACCCAACACAATGCATGCGTCTGCATAGTGCATACTTAAAATTTTGCCTCATGGCCATTTATAATGAAGTCACTTCTAAGAACAGGAGTGCATCATTTTACCGCGTTCATGAATATTCATAGGTTGACGCAACCCAAATCCAACACAGCCTGCATCGTCCGCAGTCTATTTATGAACAAAAATGGATGGGTTTGAAGTCATGTTTAATGGTTTAGCAGTGGAAATACAGGTTTATGGCTCATTTTATAACTCGCACAGCTGGTGGAATTCAATTACGCTAAACTTTAATGTGTTTATGTAGGGTGTGTTTGCATAGAGACTATTGGATTTGGAACAGGGCGGAAGCGCTGCTTAAATATTTGTTTTTGGGGTTTTCTTCAAAGCATTAGAACAATGTAGTACAACCAGTAAAACGTCCTACTGGCGTTGCTGTGAAAATCTGTGCATTGTGTTTACAATGAAGAACTTGAGTTTACTAAGGATGTGAAATATATTAAGTGTTTAAAGAGTTTAAAATTGAATGAACAATTGCTAGCATTTCAACATATTAAGGATGCACCGATATCGGCAGATACCGATAATTCTTTATATTTGAAAGCTGATAACCGATATATTGGCCGATAAATCTAAATGTTTATATAATTTTTTTGAGAGCCTTATTACACAAACAAATGTCTCACCATTAAAAGCCATGCCCTAAGCACACAATTAAAATGTTCTCAGTATAATTCTATGAAGCCTGTATGACAGACTTGTGCTTTGCATGTTGCTGAACCATATTATTTTCCTTTTTTTAATTGATTTCAATCATATTTCAAGCATTTCAAAACCATCATGGCAAACTGCACATCTGAAGTGTCTCAGCTAAAGGAAATAATCCATTATTTATCAGCCCGATTTTTTTCATTTTAGGCCGATAACGATAACATTAAAAATGAACATAGATCGGCTCATACTTATATGGTGGCCGACATATCGCGCATCCCTACAATGCATGATTATATAGATTTTTTTTTTAAGTTATCTAAAGAGCAGAAAAACTTGTTTACATTTGTATTGCTTTAGAGATTGCAGAAAAATTCCAGTTAACATGTGAAGAACAGGGCTAAACAAGGCCGATGATGACACATTCTGGCAGGCAGTGAAAACACTGTGATTAAACTTGACCAACACCATGACCAAATATAGTTGTCGCTCTCTTTGACAGATCACAGATGTGTCCTTGCCAAATTATTTAGTGGCTTCCTCAGTGGGACTTCTCCCAACACAACTCCTTAACTCCTATCTTGGCACCACCCTGCGCACAATGGAGGACGTGATCGCAGAACAGAGCGTCAGTGGATACTTTGTGTTCAGTCTACAGGTAAGACTCCAAAAACAACAGTTTGAAATAAAATCAGCAAAGACCCTGGATATACAGTTGGGCTCACACGTTTACATACTACTTGCAGAATATTCAGCTTATTATTCAAATTTAGATTTATTAAAAGTAAAAGTATTTTTTTTGCACTGCCCTGATTTGTTCCACATGACAAACCTTAACTGAATAATTTTAGTGATTTTATCCATTTGAATAGTTTACATGGCCTAACACCTTGTTTACACAGGACGCGAGTAGCATGGCACGACATGGCAAAAGACGATAGTGATATTGTCAACGCTAAATGGCTGCATATTTCTTATTTACATTTATTTATTTAACAGGCATGTTTAATTAAAGCAACTTGCAAACGATGAGCATCACAAGCGATTTGTCAGTCACATTTATTTATATTGCACTTACAATGCAGATTGCAACACTGACATGTTTCCTGTTTATTAATGTTATAGAGGCAACTATAGGTAACATGTTGACTCCTTGAATCTGCCCATGTTCTTTAGTTTCCCATCATGCTCTGCATTTTGTAAATCTCAGAATTCACTGGTGTGATGAGCGCCGAGTGGTGATGTTTAGTTTCAGATTTTCAGTTGAGGAACTAATGGACAACTATCACAAAAGAATACAAACAGAGTGTGCATGTGCACACAATATTAGAATTATTCAAGGGTGGTGTTGTAGAACATACTACTTGTCTGTCTTCTCCTGGACTAAAAATATATATATATTCAAATATTTTAATGGATTAAAAAAAATGCTAAATCATTTGACAGATTCTGCAATGGATATATAAACTGAAATATTTGTCTAGTCTAGATTATAGGGGTCATTTTTGTGGAACCTGTAGTAAACCATAATTATATATGGTCATTAGCAGAGCTTTACTCCAAAATGTGTATGCATTTGCATTGCTCTTGTGTGTAGTATAGTTAGATGCCAATGAAACAGACTGTTCCGATAGATCAGCCAAGGACATTTTGCTTAAATTTACAACCGCATTGAATAAGTTTCATCATCTGGAACTTTGTATCAACTGTCGTCCAGCTCAGTCAGCAGATCCACCCGGTGACTCACTCTCTCTGTTCCTCATCAGATCTTCATCAGCATAGGCCTGATGTTTTACGTTGTCCATCGAGCACAAGTGGAACTGAATGCCGCCATCGCCGCCTGCCAGATGGAGCTGAAGACGTCGTACATGAATGGCGGAGCGGCCAACCACAGCGGCTCGACGTACTGCAGCAAACGGGCTGTGGCGGGAGGGGGGATCAACGTGGTCTGATCAACATTTTTCTTGAGGATGAACATTTTTCAATCCTCCGTCCAGTTGCATTGCCCCGACTGGACGGCGGGAAATCCGTCAGAGGGGAATTCCTTGGCTGCGTCAGGGAGTCTTGGGAGCTGCTACCGTCCCAGACAGCGGTTCTAGTTCTGATGAAGGTCTGACTGCGGAGCGGTACTGGACTATCAATCAGATGAGAAGAGCTGACCATCGCATTTGATGGAAACGTTGCCCAAAGATTGGGACCCTGTGCCAGTATTAAATGAGAAGTTTATGAAATTGACTTGAGATGTATTTGAGGTACGTTTTCTTTTTAAAATTCTTTTTATGACGCTAATAGAAATTATAACTTTATAGGAGGTCTAAAGCATGAAATGGGTTAATTTAATTAAAGAGAATGTCATAGAATTGTAGTTAGATATTACAGAGGGCCCAACTAATATATCAGGTTAATATGCTTCAGATGTTTGCTCTTTTGTTTTATAAATATATAATGTTATTTGGTAAAAATTAATTGTTGAATTTCTTTTTTATATATATACTTTTCTGAGTTAATCTAAAGGTATTGCTTAATGGATTGTTTCTTTTCATGTTATGTGTAGAGTAAGAAAAAAAATGAGTCCGTTAGTACCACCTGGATAAAATTGTGGCTTTTGCCAATTGGGAACACTTTTATGCTACACTGCGGTTTTTGTAAGGAACAGATGGGAGGAGCGGAAATTTTCTTAGCTGGATATTTAGGGCTGTCCTGCCAAGAACCTTTAGTACAGCATGATTAGCTCAGCAGTATATGTTCGATTTCTCATTCTCATATTGAGAGGACTGAAATGATTTGCCTTCTTTCTTGTATGATTTAACCAAATGCTTTATTATAGGGCTGTTAGCATTTTATGACATCACTTTTGTTAATTTATTCATTGTTAGAATCATATAATTCCAAAAGTTTGCACAAATGGGATTCTATACAACTAAATATGTAAGAGACAAAATGCTGAAAAGCTGGAAAAAGCAATTATATTAATATATTCTATACAGTGAAAATATAATGTATTTGTATAACTATATAAGTGTGTGTATATAATATATATATATATATATATATATATATATATACACACACACACATTTATATAATAATCGTGATTAATCACATCTGATTAATCTAACAAGTTTTTGTTTACATATCTTACATAGTATATACACACACAGACATGTATATATATATATATATATATATATATATATATATAAATTGTGTACACATGCACAGATATATTTTAGATATATAAATATATATGTGTGTATATATAAACATTTATAATAACTGCTGTTAAATCGATTAATCATTTCTGACAAAAGATTTTTTTTACATAATATGTTATGTACATACGTGAATTTGTATATACATATGTGTGTGTGTACACACACATATATACACACATATGTATATATATATATATACACACACACACACACACACATGTATATATATATATATACACACATAACATTTTTATTTTTATATATATATATATGTGTGTATATATATCTATGTGTATGTATATATATATATATATATATATATATTTTATATATATATATATATAGAAGATACACAGACACACAGACAAATATATAATATAAATATATATATACCCATATTACGTAAACAAAAACTTGTTAGATGTGATTAATTGCGATTAATCGATTTGACAGCACTAATATATAAAGGGAAGCATTTTTCATATGTTAGTTCATTATTATTCTTATGTAATGAATGCTGAAGAACATGGGTCACATTGTCTGATGTGTTGCCAAAATGGCTCACAGTTGCCTACAATGAATCTTTTCGCTGTTTTTCTTCTTTCTCAATAATGCTCACCATTGAAAATCCAGCTCAAACCCTCTGTGGCACAGTTACTCGTGAGTGCATGGCGAATGGCTACAAATATCTGACAAAAGTGCAAACTACAACCAAAATATTATTACGTGACTCCGGTCATGGTATTGTCTGTCGTTCCCTCCTTAGAGGTTCACCTAATTAGAAACAAAAGAGCCCTGAGCATGACTGACTGACGTATTTGGGTCCCGGCTATATAATTTTGCACAGGCTTCCTGTTAACAAGCCGAAATGAACTCGCAGCTTCCACACTGGGAACATGAAATCCCTCAACGCAGGGAATTTCACGGAATCCAGGTGCTTAGTCTGTTTTTGTCTTTTCAATACTTTCACTCATTCTCGATGGTCTACAATACTGAAGTTATACTGAAAATACAGCCATTCACGCTGTAAACCAGTATTGTAAACAGACTTTTGATTTAGCCTGATTTTGTCATTGTGAGCTTTTATTTGTGTTGAAAAGTAACATGCTCTCAATGATGGATTTCTTGGTACTGAAATTTACACTCAGTTGGTAGTGACTTCATTCTCAGTGTCATTTGAGACACACCGTTTGTTTTACAGCATCAACACTAGAGCGTCACCATAATCTGACAATCAGCGAAACACTCACTGGAGCGCTGCTCATTTCGAAGGCTGATCTCATCTTGTTACTCTGTATTTATGTCTCCAGTCATAGTTTTGCTGCTACTTAGACTGTAGGGTCTGAGTGAAATGCTGACAAGGGCTCGAATTAATATTGCAATTTTATTACAATGTGATCAACACCATCTTGTTTTTTTCTTACATAGAGTGTGCAAATTAATAGATTTTCTAACAAGTTACGTTTATTTTGAAAAGTGCTGGTGTAATGGTGCACAAATGGACACATTCCTTAACTTAAAAAATGTGATGAATGTTTGTTTGTTTTTTGAGGAAATTGAATAAGCCCCTCTGTTTTCTGATATTAGCAATAAATAAAAACTGAACATGCTGACTCACCATTTGAGTTACATTGTAGAGATCCAACAATCCTGGTCTTGTGTTACGATGTAAACCTGCCTTGTACCTCTTGCTGCCTAAGACATTGAAAAAGTGTTCAGAATCCGACTGTAAAATGCAAAAATGAAAAGATTTGAAATGTTGCATAAAAATCCAACTGGCAACAAAAATAAATTACAATTTGAGGATAAGTATCAGTGCTTTTGTCTTATTTTTCCAGTTCAAATGACAGGATGGGATATGCAACATTGCGTTTAACACTAACAGTGAAGGGGTCTTGCGTGGTTCTTGGCTAACTTTAATCTGAGATTACAGCACATTTGACAACAAAAAAAAGGTACAAATGTAATTTCAGATTAGGGCACATCAGGTACTATATTGAAACCTCTTTGACAAGTGCATTTTACATACACTGTATTTTGTAATACAGAGAATTTTGCAATGTAAATGGATATTTATCGCTGTACCATGCTTGTTCAGTGTTATTTATGAAATAAAATGGTTAAAAAATCACACAAGTGTGTTTGTTGTGCCATGCTGTGCAGTCTGCATAAATACCCTACTGTTTCTTCATTTAATTCAGTGTTGGAGATACGTCTAGAATGGGTTTCTAACAGAAGACTGTTTGTGTGCTGATAATTCAGTTTAGTTACAGATTGACAGTGCTGTTTTGTATGATTACGTAAGATTTTGTCCCTCACGTGTTTCCCTCCGCTTTCATTATCCGTTATCTTTTGATTTGCAGTGACTTGGTACAAAGTACACCATAATCGAACCTAAAGCATGTATTCTGATTTGTGAAATGAAGGGAAGATCCAATCCAGTCACCAGAAACCATTTTGAAAATGCACGATTATTAGGATCATGGGATTTTTTTTAGGATTCCTTTAGGATTTTAGGAAAACAATAAGCATCAATATCCACCTCTAAACATAACCAAGCTCACAGGAAAACTTAACTATTTTATGAAGTGGCGATTATGAATTGGGGAAAACGTTATTATTAGTAAAATAGCAACCATAAACCCAAAACATAGCAAATTATTTTACGAAGGGTCGATTTTGTTTTAATTGTTCGATGTGATTTATACAAAAAAAAGATTTTTTGAAAGAAGCATAAACATAACCAACCCAGCTAACATAGGATGACCAACAGTCCTGTTTTCCCAGGACATGTCCTGTTTTCACGTCCTGTCCTGGCTGTTTTTTATAAATTGATGAAAATGTCTTGGTTTTCAAAGAACTGCTTGGAAAGACAGAAGTATAGATGGGCGAACAAGGAGGATGAGGAAGAAAAACAGGATAAAGAGGAAGAAAACTAAAGATATAAATATATTTTTTTAGTTCGTGTTTGTAAGTTTGTGAGAGCTATTTTTGTTCAATTTGGAGGTGTTTCTTTTAGTTATTTTTTCATATATTTATTTTTCTAATACAGAAGAGACCTTATTTTTATCATTATTTAATTTATTATTTTTGAAACATGTCATAATAAAACATGTTGAGTAACCTCTGAGAAGCCTATCTGAATTCGTGTCTTGTAATATAACAATTTTGTATCCATAGAGAGGAGGCATAGCCTACTTTAAATGTATTGAAATTAATACGGCCTCTTTGAGGAAACTTTGAAGTATTAATATCTGATTTGTTCCATTGTAATACATCATAAGCTCATTATAAGCAACTCTTCCACAAGGACGTTAATATTAATATGTATAAGATGCACAGTGTCATTCACACAAACATTAAACACCATCATGGTAACATGTTGAAATTTTAAAAATGCAATAAGCATTAATTTAACAACATTAAATGTAACCTAAAACCCTAATGTACATAACTGATTAGAAAAAAAAAAAGAAAACAGTTATTTAAAAAATAAATTATACAATGTATGTTTACAATTTTAAAATTTTCATATACTCATTTAAATTATACAATGACTTGTTCTTTTTCATTTCCAAAAAACGGTAAATTTAGCAGTATTTTACGGTAAAATTACATTAAATGTAACATTATCACAGTTGTTTACCGTAACATTTTTACAGTCTTTTACTGTTAAAATCATGATCATTGTTTAGTGTACAACTGAGATTGTACGAATGGAACATCCCTGCTGGAGTTGCTCCATGACTACAACCTTCACTGCGTCCTTGATAACGGAAAACCCTCTTGGAAAAGTGCTGACCAAACAAACACGTTGTGTTCTCCTGGTGCAATCAATATTTCCATATGTAGTATACTGACATTTCTGTCTTAGTAGGACTGATCTGAAAGGCATTATTCCCCCTTCACTAAAATAGCATGTGCTCCTGGCCATGTGTCAAAACAATTCAATGTGCTACAGTGATGCCTATTGAGGGGATAGCATTGAGATTCACTAATATTTGTCATTGGATGAGATCACTTGAACTACCTCCTCATGGCATTTCTTCTGTCAGCTAGAAGTAAGCATAAGCTAAGGATGTTCAAACAAAACCAATTACAGGACTGGTCCTTTAAGTGGCAGTGGATGGGATCCCGGTGAGAGGGCCAAGGAGAGTGTGTTTGTGCTTCAAGCAAACTTCTGTAAGCCAGACCCAGAGGGCAGATCTGTGGCAGTCTGACCTGTTTTGGATTTAATATTTACTCATCTGACCAAGCAAAAGGTTTATTAGCTTTGGCAGTGGGATGACTTTCAAGGTTGTCTGGAGTCACATTTCCACCCTGCTTGAGACAGCTGGTGCCTTGACACTTGTATGTTTTCAACTAATTTAGGGCAGTTAAGAAGAGACCTCACACTTCTAAGCTGCAACAAGAATATATAATAAAAATAAGCCTTTATCCAAACCTTTTTTTGTCTTCAGAGAACTATTTATCTTGAGCTCCCTCCCTGATAGTTTAAGCAGACTATGTATTTGTTTAATAGAATTCTGTGATGCAAATGTCAGAAAGCTAATTTGAGTGTAAAATGTATTCAAAACACACAATTTCACACCTTTAGCACAAAATTACTATTTGATTGGTAATAATGCTGAACAATAGCATTGTTTGCTTATACGTTACCTATTTTCCACTGCACAACCATAAATCTCGTCACTGAAACTGGTAAACAAGTATAATAACTTGAAATCTTT